TCACAAATTCCCCAACGATGAGGAGGGATGAAGCAGCGGCATGGAATCCACCTGAACTTTTGGCACACACTCGCAGAATAGCTCCTCAATGAATTTTTTGTACTCGTGTCTGTTGTGTCGCAAAGCTTCTCAATACACATTGAGAATTAGGTTCGGGGTGGGCGAGGAGTGGATGAGGACAATTGTATTTTATGTAAATATTCCAAGAAAACACGGGAGGGCAAAAATATATTACGACGTATCATACAATTCAAATGTGTAGGCAATTTTCTAAATTATTCTTTTTGGTTGCCTTCTATTGATTTGATGGCGAGGAGCAGGGTGGCGATACGAAAGGTGTATTGAACTTCGTGGAGAGAAACTGTTGCTGAATGATGCACGATATTATGACAAAATATGCTTTGCTGTGTTCAATAAATTTAATTCATATGCAGGAATATGGTTTATTAATGTTGTAACGCCTGCAATTCATTCTCTTTCCACCTTCAAATGTGCATTTTGCCCGGGAGAAATTATTCCCGACCATTTTGCACCTGTCTAGATATGTGAGGGGTGGATATTTTTGGTAAGAATTTCCAGTGAAATTTAATTTGTTGAAAATCCTCACATTTATCTGCTGAGACTTTAATGAGCTTTCTCAGGAATTTTCCGTGCTCCACGAGTTCCTACGTCATGAAATTTAATTCAGTGATAATGCTTGAGCAAGTGCTTGATTTTCTGCAGTGCTTTTTTGCGCACAACCATTCCTGAATGGGTGCCTCATTTTATTAGAAATTATGTTTTTAATATCGAAAAGAAAAAAAATGCACGACTTTCCCCATGCTCGATATAGCACTTCAATTCTATGGGGGACTTGAAAGTCGTTCGTGTTATCTCTTCAATAAATAATCGAATTTTTCCGAGTAGCAATGGTGAAACGGAGAGTTTCGGATGGGAGAATTTTATGGTAGCTTGAATGGGTGATTTGGCGGGAAATAATCACTATGCTATTCATCCGGTAATATTTATTTTAGCCAGATTAATTTCACTTTTATTCACACTTTACCAGACCAGCAAAATGCACTGAGATATAATTTTATAAATTGCATTTTGCGGAAGGGAGGTTAATTATGGGATGATAGTTATGAATACCGCAGAAATGATATTGTGATCAGTCGAAATTCATGCTTTTTATCTATAATAATTACGAAACATGCGCAGTAATAAATTTTTTTGGGTAAAATACTCCGTCTCACCCTGAATTCCCCTAAATATATTTTTATAAAGTAGTTGCTGAAATATTTTACAATAATAAATTCTCACTGAAATTGAATCACCAATTTGGTGGATGATTTTTAGTGGCTGTTCATCTCACCCTTCCATTCTATTTATTTATTTATTCACTAGCTCTTTGGCGTGAAAATTGGCTCAATTTACGCTACATGATTTATTTCCTCTGCATTTTTTATTAATACACAACTTTTTTGCGTGCAACTCTCGACACTCCAGGACTTTCTCATGGACCAATCATCGGGTGTTTGCCAAAAAGAGGCAGTGTTCCCGAGTGGGTGGGCCACAAAAGACACCCCTCGAAAAATAGGGGTGAATAAATGAAACATGAGATTGTAAATATGCAGATTTAACATTGCGAAAGGAGATGTGGGCAAAAGAGGGGATGGAAAGAGTGTGTTTTTTTGATATTGGATATCGGTCGGGAAATTTGATTTTCCGCTCTTTTGATTTTTCAATGATTATTTTGGGGGGAAAGTGCCAATCTATGTTTTTTTGGGGGCTTTTCCTTCTGTCTCTCCATCTTCATTTCCTCAGCACTTTTCCACCCATCCAGTTGGACGCGGTGAGCCTTCTCTTTATGCGGTTTCCAATCTCATGATGTGTGGCAAATGATTTTTTTAATATAAAAATTCATCTAGGAAGGAAAATGTCCCTCAATCTCATGTCAAACAGGGTGATTTTCCATCGGATGGACGAAAATGAGGCTGAATTTTGAGGATGAGTGATATTACATCGACATATGGCGATACATTGCACGATAATCAAAAACTCACGCTTGGTAAACTTTTCCGCGCCTCGTCGATTTGGGGGAGACTGACGTCAATTTTTCATAGAATGTCCGTGCCATATCAAAACGCGAGAGCTCATGTCAATTTATGCATCAATGCAAAAAATTGGGGTATCTGTAAGAGCATACAAATTGTGACTACACACTTGACTTGGGGCTGAATTTTCAGGGAGAAGCTCTCAAGTTTCCTGACCGATCACCATTCAATTCTTCTCTGAGAAAATTGCCCTTGTTCACGCTTGTAATGTGATTTTGGGGAGGTGAAGTTTTGGAGGACTGTTTTATGTAACTCTTATGTTTTTTTGCGCCTCGCCATATCCACATATGGCTCTATTTGATTGATGTATTTTTAATGTAAAAAAATGAGTTGAAGCCCTCATCTATTTTTCCCCATTCATCACCTTTCCGCCTCCATTGCGGAACACGAAATTCAAGTGATGGCGAAAAATATGAATAAATTGACTGGGGAGTTGTATGTATTTAAAAGGGCACCTTCATCGGCTTTTCCACACTCTTTACCAAACTCTTGCTTGATGACAGAGTTGTGTCAAGGGAAGGACACTGAATTGAAGTGTACATTAAAGATTAGCTGATTCTTCTGGAAAAATTTAATCGATGCAGGACAATACACCAGCGGGCGGAACGCTAGATAGATTTAACAAATATTTAAAAATATGCGCAAAGCGAGACTAAAAGTATAACAAAGATCAAAACTTATAAAATCCGTTTTATTTCATGTATGCCTGCATCAGCTCTGGATTTCAACACACCTTGACAGTAAAGAGTTCACTATTTCTGCATTTCACAATTCTCTTCGTATTTGCTTTTTTGCACTAATCTATTTTCTGTTTGGCAGCCTGAAAAAGGAATATTGACACGTTTCATTTGTAAAGTGTCATCAAATTGTGTTGCAACCTGCATTTCTCGTCAAAGTCTCACCATTTATGTATACATTTTTCCACGAATTTCCCATCCAAATTTGAAAGTTTCGAGTTGCGAGGGCGGTTCTGCTCCATTTGGAATTAATTTATGGATTTACGCCAAAGCTCTTTGGAACTCGTCGAAGAGTTTCCAAAGTGATTTTCACCAGGCGAAAAAAATCCTCTTGATGAACGGTTGGGAGGTTTTATTTGAAAATGAATCTCTAATTACACCAAAGTGACTTCCTTTCTTTCTTGCAATGGGGGAGGAAAGTTATTAGACATCCACTTTCTGATGAAAATAATTTCCGTTTGTGCTCTGCCCACTCTGCCTCAATCAAAACACCTCCCCTTTGGAGTCTCACACCATTCTTCTTGCCATCGAGACGATTTTCATCATCAACACGGGGTAGTCGAGGGTTTGGGGCGCCTCTGCTTGGTTTTACATGCGGAGCGAAAAAAGCCGTGGTGGTTGATTTCCATCTGCCTTTTCTGACAATCCCGCCATCGCGCGGAGTGTAATAAAGTTTCTTTCCACGGTTCGAGCTTTTCACAAATTCTGGGGCTCAAAAAGCCCTGCAAGGAGCGCTGGGCAAGGGGAGGGCGGGAAAAATTACCCCTCATAAAATAAAATATATTATCGTGAACTTTAATCTGTGATATTGGAACTTTCTCTCCCATCTTTCGGCGGGTCTTCGCGAGAATACAATTTAATTAAATTTACCTAATGGAATTTTTATTTGGCTTCTATCCAAAGGGAGCCAAAATAAATACTCATCTGTACAGACTGTGCCTGAAATTTCCGATCAACTGAATATTGGCGAGAACGTAGAAAGAGTGAACATATCGAGATTGTGTACAAGTCCTTTGTCTGATTTGCTAATTTCCTTTCTGTCATCCCAGACTTTCTGAGAAGGTGATTTTTGACGATAACAGAGCGACGTCTATACATAGAGCAAAAGGGCTTGTCATACTAAAGCATTTAATACTCTATACATTCTGAATCACTTCCTTCTCCGCATGCAACAATGAGTGAAAGTCTTTGAAAATCCTCTTAAATGCATAAATAAATTTCCAATTACTTTTCCGTACTTCTGCATAGCCTCTAAGCCAATTTACAGTCAATGTGCGGTCATAGCAGAGAAACTAGAACATTCACTTCTCTTGACAACACTTTGGGTGAAAATTTGCCGCTGGAGAAAGCTCAATTTGAGATGCACTTTCATGTCTCTTGGAGCGACATCGATTTAATCATGCGAGCTTTCCTCCAGAAAGCACTCAATCGAGCACACATCAATGGCGTGGCGAATTTAGTATTCACGAGACAAGTCACGGACATTTATCCTCTGGTTTCGTGGCACTCCCTTAATGGATTGAATTGTTCACCGCAAAAGGGACAAGTGTGCGGTGGGTAGCGTCGAAAAGCTTTCTTTCTGTATTCATTTTCCAAATGTATACAGAGAATTCTTTTGTGTGAAGTAAAAATTAGCGTGAATTTAATGGATAAAGAAGGAAAACGTTGCATTTTTGAATACTTGAACGCGCCTTGTGAATATTGACTACGTGATGTGAAAGGGAAATGTCGGCAAATCAATCTCGCTGTTTCTTCAGCAACTGAATTATTCGATTGCGAGGATGTGGAAGGCCTGAATGGCTCACATATTTCCTCTCCATTCAAAGAGATGAATTTTCCCAAGCGAGGGAAAAAATCAACGCGTGCTTGAGTGGCGGAAAATTAAGCTTTTTCTGGCCTGTGCCTAAAGTGTCTGTGATTTTTCACACACCACTGTATGTATTTACTACGTGCAAAAATTACAATACAATCTCACCAAATATAAGAGTTGCCTGAGTGGCAAAGTGTGCCGAAAAGGCCATACTTTTATTAATCAATAAATATGAAGAGCCTCATGGAGTAATTTGGCTCGACACACGCTTCCCTTCCCCTATACGCAAAAATCCATGTGGATTTGATTAAAAATGACTTTTCATTTTGCTCACTATGCTTTTTTTTATCTTTTTAGGCCAAGCTGGAAACAAAGGCACTAAAAGCTAAGCGACCAGGTTTTACTGATGAAAGATATCACGAAACCTCCTACTACATTGAAAGTGGTATGTGTAATTTGTGGTTTTTTTCCTTCTTTGCTCTTCCTGTTCTATCCCTCCCTCGCGCACATGACTTTTCTCTCCCTCGCCCAAAGTACGCTATATAAATTATATTAGGGCTGGGCCGTGCGTACAAATAGCGCCTATATCCGGCTTGCCAGGTTCTGGAACTTTGCGTTTCACTAAACAAGCTCGTGATCGAGGGGCGAATGACACACTAATTGACGAAGCAGAAACTGCAAAAAAAACCCTTGAGTATATCATTTACCTAAACAAAATGAATGTATTTTCTGTTTTGAAATCTTATGATTCGTTCGAGGTTAGCAATTAAAAAAGTTTAGTTTTTACAACATCGATATAATTGGAATTGTTTAAAAGAAGGTCTTAAAACTGTCTTTTTAATACACACAATTAGTATAGAATAACTTTCTAGACCAATCTTGATATTTACCTAAGAAACTCTCCTCAAGATCATTACTCGTCACGTAAATTGATGTGCCTTCATCTGGGCGAAAAGTTTTCTTTCGTAAATGCAAAGTCAACAATATTAAATAGTTTCATTTCTTAACAAAGTGTACTTTCCAAGTGTATTCTAAGATAAAGCGTAAACTCTCCAATTAGGGAACTGGTTGAATTTTGACGTTGGACACTGTGACGCGCCCCTCGGTGGCGCGAGCTTTTGGCACCGTTTCGTGGGGTGGGAAAAAGGTGGGCGAATGACAGAATTGCTACAAGTGTTAGCATTAGACTGTTGGACATTTATTTCTATGCCCACATATAATGATGATGATAGTGCTGTGGAATGTGAAGAGAAAGAGAGAGAGCTTTTGCCAACCAACCAGGAGCTTTTTACTGTGTATATATGTGTCTGTGGGTGGATTTGAGAGAATGGGATGAGGGGGAGAAAAGTCACATAATGGTATGCCTCCTGAACAACTTTAGCAATATAATTTCTTGTAGTTTTCTTTGGTGCAAAAATTTTTCCCATCTCCCGCAGCTACATTATGTTTATCCTTTGCCACAATTTTCTTCTTCTCTGTCACACTCTCACTTTGGTCCCGAAAAAAGCCACCACCCTTAAATACTCAAGCACTACTTTATGCCCACCCATCCAATGTTTGTGTCTTCTCTCTGTCTCTCTACTTGCCTCTGTGTTTTTGCAGGTTTGAGAAAAGTGTATCCGTATTACTTCACATTCACCACCTTCACGAAGGGACGGTGGGTGGGTGAACAGATACTCGATGTCTTCGCACGGGAATTTCGTGCACATCCAGCTGAAGAATATGAAAGATGTATCAAAGCTGGCACATTAACGGTTAATTATGAAAAAGTGCCCACAGACTATAGATTGAAGCACAATGATTTATTAGCTAATATTGTTCATAGGTAAGTTTCTCCTTTTTATTCATTTATCTATCTTTAGTCTTTTTTCATCTTGATAATATTTCACTATCTCACACTCTGTCTATCTCTCTCTCTCTGTTAATTCCTCATTTTCTTCTTCACATTTCTCTATTGATCATTTCATACACTTTTCCATCAATTTCCGCCTTCTCACGTTGAACAAGGTGTTTCGATGAGATACACTTTGATAGAGATACCATGTAAAAGAGTCAAAATGATCCCCCAGTATCTCCAATAAACACCTTGCTTGTAGTCTCGTCGTGGTTGCTAAATTCTGTACGCTTTCCGTCCAGGGTGAAGAAGAGCAATATTTTGTGGTAAAACTCAGTAACGATGAAAACCACTGATTTACCCACAGCTGAAATTTATGTGTGAATCCCAGCTGAAATATGAAGTATCGCAATCGTGATAATTTCCACCCAATAAATGGGAGTCTGAATTTGAGTGATTTGTGATTTTTTAAACATACCAAAGAACATTATTGGTATTTTGACGTGCGACTTTTGATCTCTCTCGACAAGCTGTAAAAAATATTAACAACGTGCGATATGATTTATCGCGGCTGAAGTGGAGAAATTAATGATTCTGTGTCTCATCAGATTCACAGTCAAAATATTGCTCATACTTTGCTGGGTGTGCGGAAAAAGAATATGTGAAGATTGTGAACAAATCGTGGGTGGGAGAATATTAGTCCAGACACTCTGTATTTTGATTTTCTCTTTTTTATATGTATATTTCCATATATTTTGTGAAAAGTGTTTATTAACTTAAGATTCTCCGTGTTATAATATTTGTTTTCATAATTCAATAATGATATAATTTGGTGTTGTTTGAAAATTGTTTTCCCCTTGTTTTGAGAACTTTACTTTGGCACATGTGTCTTCATGTTAATACCCTATTTGTTTCCTTCGCACTCTCACTATACTTTCTCTCAGAAATTTTACATGGTCTCACTCGTGCTCACGAGAATTTTCATTAATTCACCCAGAGAAGATATTTCACTTAATCTGAGTGGTACACATTGTGGAAAATTCTCTGTGAGGCAAAATAACACGGTTTATGACTTGAGAGAATATTTAGCCGAAGAGGAAGCGACATAGAGTTCCTTTTATTTATTCTTCTACTTCACTGTTAAATTGTTGTTGGCAACATTTTTTTTATTCGTTGCCATCTTTGCCAACGCGGGCTTCACAGGCGGCAGCAAAAGTTTAGAAGCGCCATGCATTTGGCCTGGATGTGTTCAAGCATTGCCTGTTGATGCTAAGCTTGGACTGCTGTCTGTGAAAATAGCAACAAAAAAAATACAAAGAATGATAAATTGAAAAAAATAGCATTTCTCCCCCTGTTTCTGTAAATGGAGCTGCTATTTATATTCCAATGATGATGAAAATGTAAATAATACTTCTTCAGATGATGAGCCATCGGAAGAGAACATGCCCCAAGAAGCGGAGTAATTGAGTTATGTTTTTTTCTATATCATTATTGTGTATATTTTTGCAGACATGAAGTACCAGTCACTAGTCAACCAATCACAATAGTGCATATGGACGATGATATTGTGGTTGTGAACAAACCAGCATCAATTCCTGTAAGTGGCTTAAAAGACCGCCATTTCATTTTATTTTCTCGCTATATACCTTTAGTTTTCTCTTTTTTTACCTCTTTAGAGAAAAAAAAGAAGTATATAACCTTAACAATAGCGACTCTCCGTCATATTTTTTGCTCCTTATTCTGTATTCCATTGCAATTTATTAACATAGCAACATGAGAGAAAGACGACGTACGGATTCTCTTTCCAATTAACCCTCCTACCATGGCGAATGCACGGCGGGGTTGAAATTGTTAAAAAGGGAACACTCGAATTACCCCCAATAGAAGCCCCAAAGACGCTAAAGCTGTATACCAAGAGCAAAATATCATGTTTAACATCATTTCACACTCCCGCCAAGTCACTCTGCCAGCCATTTACTTATCACAAAGTGAAAGGAGAAAAATTTAAAATAACGATTTAATAGCCTGACATCCCTTTCCCTTCACCACACGCAATTTTTCTGCTACTTTTCATGAAATGTATTTTCCTTTCTTGCCAATGCATAATTTATGAACAATAATTGCCATCGACCTAAAAGCTCTCTTACTCACGAGCTCCAATTGAGGCTAAGAGATAGGAAAAAGTGGAGAATTAGTGCCTCTACCAAACTATTTTGTTTACACCCTTGGCTTTAGGAAAGGAAAAGCTATTGTGATCTGGATATTTTGTTATTAACTTGTTTGACCCCAATTGAAAGCTCATATCCGGTATTATAAAGCTCCTATTTCAATAGGAGAGATTGCAAGCATTCTGCATCCGTTCTATTCTCAATTTAAACTCCTAAGACCGGATTATCTTAAAATCACCTCACATCCTTTGTACGTCAAATGTGACATAAGAGCTCCTTCCATGAGGGATAGATTTCAGAGGGATATGTTGTGTAACGAAAATTATCATTTTCAGCAGACTTCCAATAGGTATGTGGTTGAAGAGGTAGGGAATAGTAGAAATAACTAAACTAGTTTTTCTAGATTAATTAGACTAATTGTATTATCTGCATCAAGAAACTTTCTTAAATGTCGAGTTTTAATTTTGGAGTGCTGTAGCTAAAGTTCTTTCAGGATATCTTACATCTAAGTGTCTGCGAGCAGTAGGAAAATATGAAATATGAATGAACATTATTACTACTGTTTTAATGGTTGATCTCGATGGTCTTGTACTCGTTAAAAACATTGGGCGTTAACCCTTAAGCTAACCATTGCTTCAATATGGGAACCAGATTCTTTTCCTGTCAGATTTATGTCTTCACAATGAAGATGTTTATTTAGTCATTAAATACACACCTAAAAGATGTTTAGAAGGATAAATAAGAGAATTCATAACCTCTAAAATCATTGAAGCTTTCCTGTGTGTTCAACCATAACCTTTAAGCGACTTATTTAACGACAGCTTTGAGAATTTTTAATTACGAAAAATATCCCCATGCTTCTATACCTTGCAATATTAATTACTCTCTTCGTTATTGAAGACGCAAGAAGATCGTAAACAATTCTGAGAAGCTCCACAATTATGTCAATTGAATTTTTCCTAAGAGTGAGGGAGTGAAAGTAATGAAATGAGCTTTTAGATTTGTGCCAAATAAACTGTTGAATAGACGCCCTATGGCCATTGTGATCCTTGCTCTTCTCCTTCTCAATATTTATTAACAAGTTTCGCAAGTTAATTACCAGTGTCAGCAATATTATGATATAATGAAATCCATAATTACCTTAATGGGTTTTTCGCTATGAGATTCTCACCCTTTGGCATCCGACGTCCCGAGAGTGACAAAATGTTGGTGAGGGTTGGAAATGCCGACGAAAGCTCACCATGTTTTTGTGACGAAACTAGGCGTCTCCACTGCAAAAGCTCGCTTTTATGAGTGTGTGTGTTGAATTTTGTGGTTGAAATTTGCGAATAGAGACAGTTAATACGTGCCGTGCGAACACTCGTACATTTAATTTGAATGTAATGTGTGGAATTTTGACGTTGTTAAGAGATATTTGCTTAGTTTAGATGCTTCCGCAGCAGCCATTTCTCGCTATGTTTGGGATGAAAGCATCTGCAAAATGCATTTAATTGTACCTCAGTCATCGTTTGACATATATTTCCACTTTTCCCACCTGAATTTACTCCGCGTATATTTATATACCAAATTTACTCTCATAGTAAACCCATTCCACGCTCATACACCTCTTTTTGCATCACTCTTTTATGGAATAGCACCATGTGTTAGGAAAATGTGGAAGGGAGAGAGATTTTCAGAATGTACCGAGTGTAGTCGATATGGGGGAAAATTGTACAGTTAAAAGTCTCCATAATAGGCACCATTACTCTATCTGCAGGATTTTATGATTTTTAACAAGCACACACTTTTAATTCTCTCTTTTCTGCGCTTCCCAGAATCACTATCTGGGCATCTATGCAAAAAAAATCAATAAAACGACAGTTGCCAGATTTAATTAATACCCATAACGATGAAATCTGCATAGAAAGGGATTTGAATTCACTATACCATTGAAGTTATTTATCTCAATGTAAAATATTCCCATAAAAAGAGGGCATATCGTTCTTCATTGTGTGCATTTTGGTCGTGTTTTTTTTTCAATCTATTCCTGGTTTGCTGTATAAAATAAAAAGGCTCAAATCTATGTGGAAATAGATTTTACAAACTTATATGTGTCGATGGATTTAAAAAAAAATCAGTTGAATGGAGATATGAAATTGGATATCGATATGAGGGAGGAAAACCCATGAAATTATTTTTTTTTTACATATATTTTCATTCGCTGACTTCACAGAATATCTTCTGATGAACATTTTATCTTTGTATTAATTTCTCTGTTGGTCAGGAAGGCATGAGACGCCCGTTCTTGATCATCCAATTAAAATTATTCACATTGACAACGATCTTATTGTACTGGACAAACCATGCTCTCTGCCGGTGAGTAAGAATTGGCGAACAAAGAGCCCTTCTGGGCACGTTCTTGGCTCTTTCAGACCCTTTCATCCCTTCCTCTCGAAGTGTTTGTGTAGAACAAGATATGATTGACTGGCTGGCCCACGTTAATTTTCCTCCCAATGAATGGAGAAAACCTGAGCATTTTGGATGGCCAAAAAGGGGTTGATTTGGGACTGAAACTCCGCACTCTTTTTTCTGGTCTGTTTACCCTCTTGTGTATTTAACAAACTCCAACCCATCCTTGTGACTTCTTTTTTTCCACCCCTTCATGTGCGATAGAAATTTCTCTATTGCTCACCAAATGAACTTGACTCTCTACATTGGCATTTTGGTGTTTTCCACCCCCTCAATTGCCATCCAGAGTCAATCTTCTTGCTTTAGGGATGGCAATATTTATGTTGTTTTATATGTAATGCAGTGTGTATCCCCAACATCAATCCGAGAGGGGGCAATTTTGTGCCACATTGAGGGTGTGGAGCGACTTTGTGTGTGTGTGTGTGTATTAAATGAATGGCTCCTATTTTGTATTCTATATTCATATTATTACATCATCCACCCACAATCGAACCATCCCTCAGCATGTCAAAGATATTCATGCCGCGCTCTTTTTATGAATCTCATCATTTATCCACGAATGGAGAACCCACGAAGAGCAGTGCGATGAGGGTGAAGCGCGAGCAGAAGACCAATGCTTTTTAAAGCTTTGCAGTGCGGGAGAGGCTAATTTTGTAATATTTATTAACTTTTCTGTCTCGGCTGGCTGTCTCAGGGGTTTGTTGGCTGTAAGAAGAAATGATATATCGGATTCTTTCCTTTGGTCTTTCATCTCCATTATGACATGCCCCTCAAAAGTGTCTCTATTTAAATAGCTTGGGATTATTTTGAAAGATCCTCTGAACTCTCCCCGAAATCCTCTGCTCTCTAGAGAGTATCCTTCTGTTGTGGAAAAGATGGGATATTTTAAAGTACAGAAATGACGAGATGAAGTCACACATGAATCATGCTTTTCTGAAAAAAGAGGAAAACACGAGAAGTAAGGAAAGCAGATGTCTTTAATATCTTCTAATACACTTTTTAGTCCTCTATTCATGACGATGTTCCTCCTCAAATTTCCACCTAATATTTCTTCGTGAGTTCTTTAATCTTCTTGTCTCCAACGACTTTTCATCCAACATCTGAGCTTCTTTCTCTTGGATATTTCCCTTGAAAGAAATTGTTGCACTCTCACGTTGAAACTTTTCGACTTTTCCTCATTATTAGAGCTTTCTTCGCCCTTTATTGGATTTCTTCGTCGCACCACTCAAAAATTCCTGTGCAAAGTCAACACAATGAAATATCAAGTCCCGGAAAAATCCCACTCTCCCAAGGATTTAATCATTTGTAGAGTAATTGGGGGAGTGTTATTAAATTTGAACAGTCAGGAATGCTTGGAATGAGAGAAATTGAAACTTAGCTGGAAAGTTTAAATGAAGGTGGGAATTTTGTCATACTGAATGATGAATTTGCCGGAAAAGCACAGCAATTACCAATTTATCCTAATGGCATGGGATTGAAATGTTGACCAGAAGGTGGAAAGGCAACAAAAAGTGGGCGGAAAACAGCCGAAACTATGTTGTGAATTTATACAATATATGCATGTAGATTTGTAACTATCTATCGGTTCTGAATTAGTTCAATGGGTTTAATGTTTAAAGTACAATGAAATTTCATAGCTTTGTTTCATGAATACACTTTGAGCATAATGTTTCTAATGGTGAAAACACAGCATTTGTAATTTGTAATTTGTCCACGATCATCTCTTTCTTCCCCTCGCGTTTCGTGTATTTTCCTTCCTACTCTGTCAGCGTCCGACTCTGACATGTCGAGACAGCCACTGTGCGAGTAGGAAGGAAAATACACGATACGCGTGGGGAAGAAAGAAATGATCGTGGACAAATTGCAAATTACAAATGCTGTGTTTTCACCATAAGCTATTGAATTCTAAAAAAAAATCAAAATTTTGAAGTACAATTCTATTTCAAAATTTTAACAATCTGAAGTGGTTGTTTTACACATG